GAAATTTATTTTCAAGGTTTGAAAAGTTTTAATATTATACCGCGTTGCTAGAACAGGCATCCAACGATAGTGATAGAGCATATATATATAATCAGCTTGGCTGGGTTAAAAAGGGCCAAGGACAATACCAAGAAGCCGCTTCATTTTACGAGCGATCTCTGAAAATCAGCCGAAAAACTCTCCCGAAAGATCATCCTTCATTGGCTTCCACCTACAGCAACATTGGTCAAGTGTATGACAACATGGGTGAATACTCGAAAGCACTTGAGTTTTTCGAAAAAGATCTAGAAATCACAAAAAAAGCGCTGCCTTCAGGGTGTGGGTAGGTGGGTGGGTGTGGATGTGAACGAAGACAACACACCCACACCCACACCTAGGGGTGGGAAGTTACCGTTACGTTACCAAGTAACTAGTAACTCGCAAGTTACTAGTTACCGAGTAACTAGTAACGTCGAAGTTACCAGTTACCAGGTAACTAGTAACTTCGGAGTTACTAGTTACTTTTGGTAGGTAACTTGTCTAAGAAGTGGAGATATCGCTTCCTAATGAGTGAATACCATCATTACAGTACTTATTCAGCTCACGAGTTACCGAGTAACTAGTAACGCACATAGGAGTTACTAGTTACCAAGTAACTCGTAATTTAATTGAGTGATGAATAGCTGATATTCAGTCATTAGGAAGCGATATCTCGACTTTTTAGACAAGTTACCTACCAAAAGTAACTTGTAACTTCGAAGTTACTAGTTACCTGGTAACTGGTAACTCCGGCGTTACTAGTTACTCGGTAACTAGTAACTCAAAAGTTACTAGTTACCCGGTAACGTAACTTCCGGGTAACGGTAACTTCCCACCCCTACCCACACCCACCCACACCCACGCCCACACCCACACCCTCAATCTTCCTCGGTCAGATTATGAAGCCACTCAGCGCTTCCAATAGGAGCATGAAGCAAAGTACCAATCCATAGTTTACCTATACTTTTTTTGCGTTTTTTCAGCGAAAAACAAAGTGCTTTTTCAAAATCGTAAGCACCTTCGGTACTTTGCTTGTGCTTGACGTGCTTAATATTAGAAACACTGAAACCACCTGATAGCCTGTGATTTAAGATGATAGCTATCTCCTCCTACGCGATACCATAAGTACGCGAGACAAGAAAAATTTTCCTTTTTCTATTTAGCGATTGATACACTTATGTATGTTAAAAAGACATTATTTCATCCGGAATAGATTTTCTACCTTATCGGAAAAATAACTTCAACAGTCCCATTGACCACTAGGACTTTTCAACTTACTTACAAATATTCTACCTCAATAAGAAAAAACTAAACTTAGTAGTTTCGCTATTCCTCTATCTTTCTTCGTAAGAGAAAAAAACAAGTAGCAACATACGCTATTTGAGATTGGAACATAAAAATCATTACATAAACTAATTAATAATGATACTATTCGATGAAAACGATAACATCATAATCTTAAAATGGTAGAAATATATATATATTCATTGTACTAATAATATGGTATCAAATGAATGTATAAATAGCATTATAAACAATTTCATAATCATGTAAATAAATGTATATTGCATCTGCGAAAAAAGAAAAGTTTATTAGAGTATTTACCCAATCTATTGATGATCGATGGAATAGAATGATTATATACAAGGAAATCATTCCTTACATATGTTTTAAATATGAAATGTTACTTAATGATGATGAGTAATGCATATTCGAGCATCGAAGACGAACAGAAAATATAATTGATTCTCATCAGTTCAGTAAGTAATGAGATAACCATCTTCATCAACGATCAATTCTTCGCCACTCTACAATGTTTTTTCATTGATATTCATGTTTATTATTTTTTTCTTGTTTTTTAATTTTCAGTGAAAAATTTCTGAGTGTAAGTATGGATGAATAAGTACTTATTTTCTTCGTACCACATTCACATTTGTATAGTAGACATTTATTTTAACTAAAACACAACATGATTCAATGGCACTATCAATTCAAAATATTATTATTATTTTGTTATTTAACATATTTTACAACAAAATAAAAACTAAAAAGGGAATAAAAAAGAAATGCTGGTGAACTAGATGATTCTAGTCTTTAGTATCTAAACGAAAACAAAAGAATAAGTTAAATTGAACTAAGTCAAAAAAAGGAAACAAATATATTAATTTCTTATAATCAATACAATACGTTTAATATTGGATCATATAACATGATTAACATTTATTTGAACATGTTCAATTTTTAAATGAATTGATAATGGATGACACAAAAAAAAAACTCTATTAGCAAAGAAAAAATGAATTATTCAACATAAATAAAAAGACTTGGTTTAATTTGTTAAAAAAAAACAGTTGATATATTGTATATCTGATGTTCAATCGCATCACAAGACATATTTATGTTTGTAATGAATTATTAATTAACATTTTCTTATCTTTGAAAAAATCCAACTTGTTGTTTTCTCAGAATATGCTTTTGAATATATCGTTATTAAAAATGAATGAATACATTTGGGTTTTTGATGAAGCTCTACTTCAATTAACTATCAAAGTATCCTCTGTTATTGTTATTTTTTCTGTAATATGTACTAGTTCAATACCGTACATTTAAATGATAAATTGATAAGATAAACTTTATTGTAAAATCTATTCGTGTATTTGTCTTTTTGGATGCATCAGTTTTTTTTTCAAATTCATTTCATCAATATTGTTCGGAATTTCATACTTCAGTTAATTTAAACTGATATAACATCAATTTTATCTTGCTATGATGTTATAGTTATTGAGTGATCGTTTAACTTTTTCGATTTAAGTATCAGATAATTTTGTTAATGAAACTAAATAAAATAGGTTTTCTGTTTGATAAAATTTTGAATACAAAACAAATCTCTTCATACTATCTTTGACATCGGTCTCATATGTAATTATTTTACAACTTATTTCTTTTAATCATGTTGTTCTTTGTACATCATATCTTTCAATATGATAAGCACTTCTTATGACATTCAATTGTATACTTACTGTTTATCCTATGATATTTTTAATGTACAAATAAGAAAACAATAATTTGAAAATTAATTCTTATATGAGAAGATTATATTGATTTGATGAAACGTTTTTCTTTACTAAAATCCAATTATTTTTAAGAGCATCACGACATTCAATAATATAAAATGAAGTATCACTTGAATCTCTTGATAATGATGCGTTTTATGATAGAGGTATTGATATTGAATTTATAGTTACTATTTATTATGGTTTATCAGGTATAGATAATAGTTCCACAGAAACAAAGACAGAAATAGAATTTTATTTTATTTGTGATTTAAGAAATATGCTATTCATGAACTACCATCGTCATTACCTGGCATTTTCTATTGTGTACATTATTAACTGATTATTCTAATTTTAAGGATTGAAATTCAGAGTTGTTAGAATAGATTTCTATTAACTATTGAATAATTTACTTCAACTCACAATTGATCTTGATATATTACGTCTGTAAGTAAAATAACTCGTTGACTTTGTACCATCATCACTTGAATAATCTTTTTTAATAATGATTATTCTTCTAGTCTATTTGGACATGTATATGAACTTTCAGCAGTAACCAATTCTATTGTTATTAATGTTGGTAACACTCCAACACGATTCAGTGTACTCAGTATAAGCACACTAGTTTTTACTTGACTTGTTTCTATTCGTTTTTTTATTCAGTCATTCTAGTTTACAATCGAACTTTATATTCTTCTAGATATCATATCTAATGATTTTATATTTGTCATCTGTTAATCATTAACATATGTCATAAATTATTGAGTAACCATAGGTGGTATTGAATGATCAATATTTACATTATTTTTCATTCGATGTATTAGAAAATTTAGAGAATAATGAGAAAGAATAGGTATTCAGTTGAAGAATAACTTTTGAATATATGCAGTTCAGATAGAGACAATTTATTGGTTATTAATTGATGAAAACAACATAGTATTGGTTCTCTTTATTTTTCAGATGCGAATAAATATTATTTGATGATGAATAGTTATGAATGAAATCAATTTTGGTTCAGTATCATAATGATCAGAAGATAATTCATGAGATCTGAGAAGATTGTAGCTAGTTCATCTTTAACATCTTTTTTCAATCTTCACGAAACTATTCGATATCATTTTTGAGCTGTTCTAACAGGTGAATGCTGAAAACAGAATACAAGCGAAATTTTTTACTTATCTATCTAACTCAGAAGCTATGTAGTAGATAGAGAATGACATTTAGAAAAATGTGCTGTGTTAAGTTTGGCTTAATAAATTATTGTTTGGTGCTATATATATATATCTAATTTGTTGCTGCAACTATAATCAGCTTTTTTACTTTTGCTATTTATAGTGTAACAGAGGTAAAGAGCTTAAGATATATATATATATAATCTATTTGGATTTGTGTATTTTTTGAACCTTCGTTCTACATAAATATAGTGCGAAGCGATCTCAATTTTCAGCAATGGAGTTTCTTTTAACATAAGAATGATTAATGATTTCATCTAGAGTCGAAAGTTTTCATTATTTCTATTAAAAGATGGAGGCCGAATGTGTACATGACTGACTATATAAATTCTATGCTTTGCATCATATTAACATAGCTTCCTTGTATTCATATGAATTTAGATTCTAGTAGTTAACATTTGCTGTCGGATATGAATAACAGTATGTTTTGTGAGTCAGTAAAAACCGAAAAGTTTTTAGTCTAAAGAGTAGAAGTTTTTCTTTGCATAATTCAAGAAAGATAAGTGTAAACGAAGACATTAAAAGGCCAATTTTTATAGAAGTTTTAGTAAATTGATGATTATCAACAATAATAATTGTCAATAAAATTTATTATTTAAATTTTAAACTTAGTTTTAAGAAAGTCTGAATGAGTAATGTTTCACTTGAAAAGAATTGTTTTTTTTTTCTGATTATTTAAATAGTAATTTAGTTTTCATTAAGCATTAGATTGATCTATGTGATCAAGATCGAATTGTTTACTAAAGTTATCAAAAGATTTTTGACGTTTTATAATACGTATTGGTATAGTAGTTGGTATAGAAGTATGTTGATAATCTATCATACATGGAGTTGATGGATATATAGGTTCAGAAGTTTTTAATTGAGTTGAATAAGATGAATTTATAAGAGATAAATTTGTAGAATCAATAACTCCAACAACATTAGACGTTGATCGAGTATTAAAATAATTATTCGAACAAACTTAAAATAAAAACTATGTTCAATTTGTTTTATTATTATATATTTTAAAATATACTTTTATTTTGTGACTTTTCTAATAATACTGATGACATAGAAATTGATCGTTTATTTGCATAAAATAAATGTGCAGCATCACGATCTATTTGTTTGGATTCTGATGAATTAATATTATTAGGATGAATTTGAGTTTTACGTATCCATAATCGATCTCAATTCAATTTTTGAATTATAAAATTTATATATAAATGTTAAATATTTAATTTACCTGGACTTTGTTTACTACGTTTTTCATTTTGATAACTACGTAGAGGTGAACAAAATTGAATTGATCTCACGCGAAAACGATCGACTAAAAACATTTTTAATATTAGATATGTTTTATGTCATTATGTTAATAATTCAATCATTCAATAGTTTTATAAAATTTGAGTAATCGAAAAGATTCTTTATTATTATAATAAATACTTACAAGATAATGGAACACTTGATGAACGATTTGATGATGATGACATTGTATTATTCATTAGATAGAAAATTGTGTATATTTTGTTCGTATAGTTCGATGAAATGACTTCATTATTTTCTAACTAATGAAGAACAAAATCTTATGGTTGATTATATCTTATAATTCCAAGGGAAAAAACATCATTTAATACGGATATGAAGAAAAAAAAAAAACAACAACAAAGCAACAATAGATTTACAGTTGAATAAACAATTTATATTGAATTTTTCAAGAAGACTTCCATCATTACTACTTAAGAAATCTATTTATATTTGTTTATGAGTAAAAATAGAATCTTTTTCTTTTTTGTCTGATATTACTTTATAAATAATATAGAATCATATTTTTATTTTGATCATCAAATTAGATTATTTATTGAATAAAGATAAAATAATAAAAAAAAATCATATATATTGTGATAACAAAGTTTTGTTTTTTTTTCTAATGAGATTAAATTATAATTTAGCGATTTCTTGAAAATAGACACTCATAACTTTCATACCATTCATATAATTACTTATATCAAATTTTTCATTTTGTGAATGTGCACCATCATCACTTGCACCAATTGGTAATAATAAAACACTTTTACCTGTTTGTTCTTGGAATGTTACTAGAGAAAAATAAAAATAAATAGAATTTTCTTTTTTTTTTTTTTTTTGTTTAAATTAAATTTACATGTTATAGGAATTGAACCACCTTCACGTGTTAAATCAGGTTCCATACCATGAACAGCAACTGTTGCTTTACGTGCTGCAACATATTGAGAATTATTTGGATCAGCAACCCAATAATTACCACCATGTTCTAATTTAATTGATACTTTATTTGGTGAATTTCGTGTTTTCATAATTTTTTTAACATGCTCTTCAACTAATTTTTCAACAGTAGCAATTTTCATATTTGGAACAATACGTATTGAAAATTTTCCAATTACATGACGTGGAATAACAGTTTTACAACCACAACCATCAAATGCACCTAGAAGAAAATTTTTTATTTATTAAAAAGAAAAAAAATCAAAAAAATTTTTTTTTTTGCATACCTTGAATTCCATGTAATGATAATGATGGATATCTCCATCGATGCATTAAAATTTTTTCTTTTTCATTTTGAATTGTTCGTCGAACACCTGCTTCAGAACAATAAGCACTCTAATCAAAAACAAAATATTTCAGAAATTTATTCAAATAGAAAATATTAAACAAACCATATCAAATGTAATTGGACTATAAAGTTGTTCTTCTTCTGGTAAAAGTGGTGCAACATCATCATACATACCATCAATTAAAATATGACCTTGGCTATCAACTAATGTACTCATAATAGCAATTAAATCAGTCATTGCTTCATGACTAAAATAAAAAAATTTTTAATCAAATTAGAAAAGAATATAAAGATGAGAATCTAGAATTATTATCATAAATTTAATTTACACTTTATTCCAGAGATGTCCATGGCGGCGCTGCCGCTGCCGCCGTGGCGGTGGCGGAGCGGCAGCGGCAGGTTTCTTAAAAACTCATCGCGGCAGCGGCAGCATTTTTTTCGAGGACATTGAAAAACTGCATGAATTTAATAGAATTTCATTGTTTACAAATGAAACACCCCGAGACTGAATGAATCTGATGGACTAGTACCAATATTTCTGGTCAAATACAGTTGCAGCAGTGAAAATCGAAACACCTTTTTGAAAAACATCGCGGCAGCGGCGCGGTGACTTTTTTTATAAACCATCGCGGCGCGATAGCGGCAGAGTTTCAGCCGCGATGGACATCTCTGCTTTATTCTAGCCCAAGCAGACAAACTTTTGAGAAAACGCACAGAAATTGCGCAAAAAGTGGACGTTTTTGGCTCACACTTGAGGTTCCCGACTGTGAGCCAAAAAACGCCCATTTATTGCCCTTTTTGTGCGTTTAAACGCGTTTTCAGACAAAAAACGAGCGTTTTTGGCTCACAGTCGGGAACCTCAAATATGAGCCAAAAACGTCCACTTTTTGCTCAATTTCTGTGCGTTTTCTCAAAAGTTTGTCTGCCTGTGTATTGAATGTATTCTTTACAAAACTTGTAATATTCTTATTAATTTTGAGAAAGAAAAAAAAAGATTCTACACAGAAATATAAAATAATTTCTAAAACTACTTACACAGTACCACCAAAACAACCTGAATGTAAATCTTTTGTTGAACATTCAACATCAATAAAAAAATAACAAATTCCTCTAAAAAAAAATATATATATATAAATTATAACAACTAAATATATATTTGTTTTATACCGAAGACCATATTGTAAACAAGGTTTTTCTTTACCTAACCAATAACTATCCGAAATAACAACATAATCAACATCGGAAAGAAATGTATTTTTTAATGATTTAAGTAAATCTTCAAGACCTTCACTACCATATTCTTCCATACTTTCAAGAACAAATTTAATATTAACAGGAAATGATTGATTAAGTTTTTGATATGCTTCAATAACATTAAGCCAACTTAAAACTGGACCTTTATCATCAGTTGAACCACGACCAAATAATTTTCCATCTTTTTCTGTTAATATAAATGGTTCTGTATCCCAACCATCAGAAATTTGTGCTGGTTGTACATCTAAATGACCATAAATACATACAGTTTTTTTTGTTTTATCATTTCCATATGTAGCTAAAATAACATCTGGTAATTTAATTTTTGTTCCATCAGCAAGTTTTTGTTCACCAATATCAGCTAATTCAACTTTAGCACCTAATTTTTCTAATAAAGATTTTGTCCATTGAACCATACGAACAACTTCAGGTCGATTATCAGGCCATGCTGATACAGATGGAATACTAACTGCATCACTTAATCGTTGAATATAATCTTTTTTATGATCATCAAAATGTCTATTCAATTAAAACAAAAAAAAATAATTACTATTTCATTTTTTTTTCTTTTTCAACTTAAGATATCTTACTTAAATAAACGCTTATTAAAATCTTCGTTTGACATGATTTTTCAATTGATAGATGAAATCTTTTTTTTTTATCTGAAAAAAGAAAATATCAAAGAGCAAGTAAAAATTTGATCGTGAAACAAAGTTTTTATAAGTCAGTTTTATTTGCATATGATAATAGTCTTATATATGAAATGGTCAAAGTTTCTATAAGATAAAATGAAGTGCACTGTTAACAATAAAGAAAAATGACATATTCCTTAGAAGTCGTTAATGCTTAGTTTTTGCTCGACATTGTTATTGAAGATATTACTTCAAAAGAGTGCATATATATATATCGCTTCATCTACCTCAACAATAAAATGACCTTCATGTCTCTCGAACATTCTATTGAAGAAAGAATAAATATCAGAAGAAATAAATTATCAAGATAGATATCATACTAGAATAGAAAGAGAAAACCGTAAATTATAATGGATAAACTTGTATTAGCACAAGTCTCTAAATATTGAATTGCAATAGTGATGATTATATGTCAGAAAAAAATCAACCAAAAATCTAATATATTTATCAAATTCCTCAAATTTTACTATTCAACGATATCTGAAACTCATAATAATAACAATGAATATACTTGCTTCTATTGTATTACAACGACAAAAGTGTCTAACAAGTAAGAAGAATAGTTAAATGTCGAAAATAATAAATCCTTGACAAACAACTTTGTCTAAGCTTTAGTCAATAAAATATAACACAGTGTGATGTATACATACAAAACAACAGTAAGAATGCAATTTATAATAACCAAAACAAAAAAAAAGAAAGAAAAGGATTAGAATTTTCGACATTTATCCACCAAAAATAAACCTTTATCTTCATTATATTTTTTCAATAAGCCATCGGAAATAAAAAGAAACGTTACTTTAAATTGTTCTTTTTTTTTAACGAACAACAGAGATTATCCTTGTTTTATATATATATATATAAAGTGCCACATTTTCTCTGTTCACCAAAGCACAGTTCAGTTCTACAAGAACCACGCTAATACGAATATGAATAAACAAAATCCAATAATGTATACAAAAAAAAGGCATGAAAGAGAAAAGAAAAACATCTCTGTATCTAAAGCTATATATATACAATTTAACAAAACTAAAATGAAACAGAAAAAAAAAACGGAACTGATTTTGTTTTGTTAATAAACATAAACCGAACGAAGCCCAACGATCAAAACGAAACGAATGCAATAGTCAAAATATGTTTGAGAGATATCTATGGCACAAAAAAAAACAAAACTATACAATAAAATGTTTTATGTCTGTACACAACGACGTTGTCGATTGCCAAGAAGAATATTATCAAGATCAAGACCTGAACCAAGAAATGATTTTTTATTTTTATTTATTGAAGATATTTTTGGTTTTTTTAATGAAATTTTATTAATTTTTCTTGGTTTTATTTCTTCAATAATTGTTGTTGTTGTTGTTGTTGATTGTATTGGTTTTGTTCGACGTAATTTTACACGTTCTTCAATAGATAATGATGGTAATATATCAATTGAATCCATTAAAGATATATTTGATAATTTTGTTTTATTTCGATTTATTGATTTTTTCTTTTTATTACCTTGTGTCGATTTGATAACAGTCTAAATTTAGAATTCATTTTTTTAACCTCGAAATCATTAAAAAAAAAACAAAATATCCGATAATGTATCTCTTTCGTTTTGTAGAATACTCTTATAAATCAAAAATAATAATTATTTATTGTCTGTATTCAAATCATTAGACATACATAATAAAATTATAATGATATATGATATTATTTTTTTTTATTCTTATTTAATTGATAAAATGATTTATTCTTCTAGTTTACAATTCTAATATTGATGAGAAATTATGAATAAATATATAACATTACTTATTTTACATACTTTTGATGAAATTTTATTATCTTGTTTTTTTCCTAATTGTAAACGTGAATTAGTCATAAATGTTCGTGTAGATAAACGAGTACGATGAGATTTATTTGTTCGTGTATTTATATTTATTGATGTTGTTGGTAATGATATTGGTATATCATTTGAATTTAATAATATTAATGAATTATTTTCTTTATCACTTGAACTACGATCAATTGATACTGTACGATTTGTTGTTGAGATTGTTTCATCTAATCAAAAAAAAAAAAATAAATAAATAATTATGAATTATTTTAAATAAGTTATTTATACTTGTATGATTTGATGATCTACGATGTTTTTTAGTTTTTCTTTCACGTTGATTTAATGGTAAATCATCATTATCATCAGATATTGGTCGTAATGAATATGAATGATCAGTAAGAAATGTATAATTATTTAACATTATTATAATATTAATACATTGAATATATCAATAGATTATCAATTATCTGATATAAAAAATATAATGAATAAATAAATTTTTTTTTTTGTTTTTTTTTTCTTCTAGGAAATAAATGATTTGATCTGACAGATATGTTTAAATAAATAAACAACAATTATTATTAGGTAGTATTCTTACATCATTTTTTTTAATTGGTTATATTTTATTCATTCATTTTATTTAGATTATATATAATGAATTAATAATAAAAATGATCTTTCATTTAATTCTAAATTTTATTTTTCAAAATTTTCTTATTTTTAACAATTTTCAAATGTATAATAGTGACATCTGCTTTTGTTTTTTTTTTGAACTCATCTCATCGAAGTAACTCGTAGGAGTGATTATTCGTCTTTTCGCAGGAAAAATAAAACACTTAAAAAAGAGTCTACATGACTAAGATTGGTTTTCGAAAAATGTTTTATTATTATGATTGCATCTTTTCCTGAAACCTTAGCTCTATTGCTAAATAATAGATTTAATTGTTTTTGGAGATAAAAAACGTATATATATATATACATTTTGAACTTTTACGCAGTTACTAACTTGTACAGTCATTTATCTTCATTAGGCGATAACAGTATTCTTTCGTTTCGTTTAATTTGCTAATATCACACAGCGTCATTGTGGGACATAATTATTCATGTATATGAAAGAGAATAAGGAATTTTTTGGGTCGGAAATTACTGAAGAATCTATGAAATATCTATACTCAAAATCTTTTATTAATAATATGAAACTAAATAGATATCATTTGTTTTTTTTATTAGAAAGTCTATTTTTATCTACCTTAGTTCAATGATAAAATTATATAATTTGAGACTTCGTTGCAGCCAAATTTAACTTTGTTTGATAAGACAAAGCTTGTTTTAGTATGAAAATTGAAACTTCTAATATGTTGTGATGAAGAAAATTAAAAAAAACTCAAATAACAGTAACATTCTTAATTGTTTTGTCATAGTTCATAGTCACATCTCGTATCTTATTTAAATAAAGTAGTATGTAAACTAAAAAGTCCATATTCATGCTCAATTTACTTTATAGAAATTATTTTAGGTCAATAGGTAGACTTCTACTGAATCTCACTAAATTCGCCTCAGCTAATTTTAAGGTCAGGATAAAAATTAAAATGATAATAGACTCAATTACTTTTGTTCTGTTTTTTCTGTCTCTCTCTCGTTCTTATGACCTAATGCTGTACATGTTTTATGAATAAAATTTTTACATTAATTTTGTTTTCAGTATAATGTGACAAGAACTTTTCGTAAGATATTCAATTTTTTTTGTTCTCAGCTTTTTCTAATTAATCAATTTGAGTTTAAGTAAATCTTGTACAGACTCACATTATATAACAATTCATTTGGGATTATAGGGAGAAAATCAAGCTTTTTTTCAATAAAATCTGTAGTTTTTTTTGTAATTTGAATACTTTGACAATATTAGAAAGTTTACGTCATATACATCACTGATTTTTGTGTGACATTGCCGAACATTCTTTTTTGTCTCTAGTTATCAAATATTTCTAAGTATCGATATCAAAAATGTGTAAGCAAGGGCATTGATTATATCAATTATTGAATTTATCTATAATTATCATATTATTCAATTATTAAATATGATATTTCATATTCATGGACATTGAGTAGACGAAATAGAAATTTTTGACATTGAAATAATATTTATGAAAAACAATATTATTCTGTATATATACATTTAAAAATGTAAATAATTAATTAATTAATGGCTATATCTAATTCTATATTATTATGAAAGAAACAAGATAAAAAAAAAAAGTGAGCTTTAAAAAGAAATCAATGTTTGACTAGAATTAAATATCTTATAATTCAGTTTTTATAGTTGATGGATTTGTTGAATTAGTTGTTGTTGTTGTTGTTGTTGTTTGTTTAGTTTTTGATATATTTTTAATTTTATTTAATCGTGTTTTAATTTTTGTATGAATTCTTGATTTTGGTTTTTTATTTAATGCATTTCGATGTTCAATTTTTGTTATTTCTGTATATTCTTCAATTTCTTCTTCTGTATTACCTATTAATGATATGTATACATATAATATTGATCGAAAAAAATCGATGTCTATATTTACCTGCATGACATTCTTCACTACAATCTTCCTTACGGCTGACTGGACATTTCATACGTTGCATACATTTATCATAAGATAAAAATTCATGTGCTTTTGGTGATGAATAAACTGAATGAATAATAAAGCATATATATATATATATATTTGTCATTGTTTATTATTTGATATATAAATCTTACCTTTAGATTTATCTATTTTATCCTGTTTGTCTAATTCATTAGTTTGACGAGCAGCTTGAGTTTTTTCTATCGTTTCACAATTAATACGTTGACATTTACAAAATATAAACACCAAGAATAGAAATAAACATCGTTCTGTTATATCTACCTAAATATAAAGACCTGACAATTATAAAAGTATTATGTACATGACAATATGAAAATTTCCTATTTTTCTCTTCTTTTTTTTTTTTTTTTTTTTTTTTTCTTCTATGATATTTATTATGTCTATTTTTGTATGAAGACAAGTTGAATGAATAATCATATGGACATCTGGACGTTTCAAAGCGAAACGCAAAACAGATTAACGACATGTGCAATACATCACACAGGTGCATAGAAGTGCTTACACACGTTGTATATACCTTTTTTTAGTGTCTCTCTCTCTCTCTCTTTTTACTCGTATTCGACTGTTGTTGAACAACATCGCCCATCCACCCGTGAGTTTGAAATGAATGATAATGGTAAAATAATACGTTGTGTTCTCTTTTTTTTTTTTTTTCTTCTCTCCTATTCTTCGTTAAAATATCTCACAAAAGAAGCGTATCGTACGTTTACCATGAAAACAATCGAAATAGACGAATACTATTAAAAGTCGACACACAAAAAAAAATGATTGAAAGAAGAAGTATTATCGAATAAAGATAGACCGATTTGTACAATCAGAAGCAAAAGAAAAAAAAATAGAATCGTGTCTTTCTTATGATTATAGATTTTTAAAAATAAAATAAAACATGGGTAACAAAGATTATTATGCTATATTAGGTGTTAATCGATTGGCTGGTGATGATGAAATAAAACGTGCCTATAAACAAAAAGCACTTAGACATCATCCAGACAAAAATCATGGTGATGTTGAAGCTGAAAAAAAATTTATGGATATTAGTGAAGCATATGAAATATTATCCAATCCATATAAACGTTCATTATATGATCGTTTTGGTAGTGAAGAATTACGAAATTATTTAGGTACTGATCCACGTACACATTTTCCTTCATCCGGTTCATATTATTCAGATTATGGAACGGATTTAAATAATGATTATACATATGATGCATATAATAATTATTTTGTACGTTATAAAGATCCATCAACATTTTATGATTTATATGTTACATTAGAAGAAGTTAATAAAGGTGCAACAAGAAAAATGAAAATAACACGTAAAAGATTTAATATTGAATTAAATACAACTGTAAGTGATGAAAAATTACTTGAAATTCAAATAAAACCTGGTTGGAAAGAAGGTTTGAAATAATTTTATTTAAAAATTTTTATTTATTTATTTATTGTTTTTTTTATAGGAACTAAAATAACATTTGAAGGTGAAGGTGATGAATGTGATCAAAATACTATAGCAGGTGATATTGTATTTATTATACGTGATAAACCACATCCAACATTTGAACGATCAAATTCGGATTTAATTTATCATATTAAATTAACATTAAAACAAGCATTACTTGGTACATCAATTGTTATACCATTTCTTGATCCAAATAAAATACCATATCAATATTATTCTCATCAAGAAATAATAACACCACAAACAGAAAAACGTTTTTTAAATGAAGGTTTACCTTATCCAAAAGATCCAACACGACGTGGTGATCTTATTGTTAAATTTGATATTTTATTTCCAAAAATACTTAATCATGAACAACGTACTATTGTTGATTGTTGTTTTTCAAATTCAATTGATACTTATCAACCATATAATTCTGTATTTCATAGTACAATTATTGATGAAACACAATTAAAACAATCATATTCACAAACTCGTATATCACCAACACAAATATCACCATCACAACAACAACCACAAGTATCAACAATGCAAAATCAGTCAATTCCTAATTTAAATTCAACAACAACAATTAATAATAAACCTCAATCTACATCTACTAATACGAGTAATAATAATAATAATAATATTCATCCTCAAACAGTTTTAAATCGTAATGGACATCAAAAATCATCAAATGGTCCAAGTAAAACTCGTACTAAAACTACTAAAAAATCATCTGTTGATGCTTCGTCATCAATATCACCATCAGTTTCACCTAAAACATCAACAGCTAATGAGATTGTTTTTTGATCTTTGCTATTGTCATCAATTATAACGTTTGTCCTTTTTCTTTTTTTTTTTTTTCGTCTTTCTAATACAAATCGAGTTTTAATTGTTCTTACATAATGCTGTATTAATAATTATTAAAAGTAGCAAACTCATTTTTCAATAAAAAGAAAACTAAAATTTATGTCTATATAGAATTATTTTATTGTTAAAAATTATATCGATCAATAAACAAATTTCGATTTTACTACTTGTCAATATAATTAAATCAATTATATAAACTCATGCATATATATGTATATATTCTTACCATTGTTGTGTATATGTTACGTTAGTTGGAAGTAACAGAAGAATGGATATACAATCAGTGTCTCGACTTTTCTTCCTTAGAGAGAACGAGTAATAAGATTCATAAGAAATAAATATCTGATAGATAGATAAACATAGATTCTCGATAGGCACCAAACGAGAAAAATAAATGTACAATGACATTGTATAGATAATCACAAGAAAATAATAATACATATGAATAATATTAAATATTACACAAAATGAAAAATATAATTTTAAGAAGTTTTCGATTCATTTTCTTTTTTGCTAAATTAAGCCAATTATTAACGACATCTATTATGAATAGAAAAGGATCAAAATATTCTCTAATGGCTAAAACTTAGTTGTAACACTAAGGCTATGTTCACACTAGACGAAGTGATTTAACTTAAATCAGAATTGCGTAAGTTGATTGGTTAATTCATATTTAAATCGTCTCGAAAAGATGATTTAAATATGAATTAACCAATCAACTTACGCAATTCTGATTTAAGTTAAATCACTTCGTCTAGTGTGTTCATAGCCTAAATAAGGAAAAAAAAAAATAAAACGTTTGTTTTTTTGCATATTGACAAAATCATTTCTTGTCGTGCATCAATTGATCAAAATATGGTTGAAATACAAACTAATCGATCAATTGATATATCAAATACTATCAATACAGCAATTATGAATTGGTCACCTGATGGAAAAAATCAATTGTAATAAAAACAAAGATTCTTTGTATTATTATTATGTTTTGTTTTTTTTTGTAGTAATGAACTTTATAAACAATTACTTAATGATGATAAAGATAAATTTGAAGCTGAATTAGGTAAAATTTGTATTTTTTTTGTTTAATAAATAAAACATTTTTTTTTTTTGTTTTTAGCAATAAAACAATTACTTGTTTCTTTATGTAAATCATGTTTACAAGGTAGTCAATCAGTAGAAACAGTTATTCGAATATTTGGTGAACTTCAAGTAATATATATAAAAGTAAATAGTTTTTGCATAAATTTATTTATTTATTTAGGAAATTGTTTCATGTTCATCAATAATCGGAGATCTTCTTGCCGATATTTTTGCTACTCTTGGTTAGTTTTTTTTTGTTTATATTGTTTTAAATAAAACAAAAAAAATTTTAATTTAGATGTTGAATTATTTCCAAATGATGATACAATTACCAAAGATACATATAAACAAAGATTTTTTCAACTTATTAATAATTCTGAAGTAAGGATTAAAAATATATAATAAATAATTTTAGAAAACATAAGGATGATTTATTTAAATATTAGACAGTGAAGATAAGTTTTTTTTTTGCATATAAAACATCTGAGACTATCATTACATTTTATTTATCAATAATTATGAATTATGAAATTCAATTTATTTTTTATATAACGTTTGTTGAGTATAATAATTTTTTTTGTTGAAGTGAAACTTATGATTGTAAATTTGTCTCTATGATGAAAAAGATGTTATACAAGATAATTAACAATAGGTTGTTTTCGGTTTCTTACTGTTGAAAAAAACGGAGTTGCCGATTTTTGGAACTTTATTCTTGAGCATACTATCTACTTTAAAAACATGTTTTTACAGATTATGATAAAGAAGTACATTTGAAAGTATCAAATACAAATTGATTTTTTATTTTGTGTTATGCCTTTAGGGAAATAATAGAAGAAAAAGTTCAAGTCGAAAGATATGCCAAATTTACAAAGCTTTGATTTTTTTTCATCACGTGTTTAGTTTGCCTAGTTTTCTTGATTGAAGTTCTGAAATTAGAGTTTAGATATGATTTTGTAGAGAATTTCACGGTGCTTCTAATTAAAAATGAATTCGTTGTAAGGAATAGGACATAAAGCAAAATTATTGAGGCCGAGTTTATGATCAATTTTTCTTTTTTATGGAATATATTTCTAAGCCTATAACTTCCTTACTAGATGAACTAGCGACGTCAGTCAATTGTAATTTCGTAGAGGGTTTTTTGCTGTATATTTTCCTTGTAGAGACAAATTTATAATCACTTATTTTCCTTCCGAAACATCTATTATATAAATCGAGTCAGCACTTCTAATCCATCCTTTATGTTCAAGAAAAAAAAAAAATTCTTTTATTTTGACAGCGGAGAAATTTTTCATTTTAGCGATAGATTCTACTGTAATCTGAATCTTGACATACATTCATAATACAAACAGTACTTTAGATTTCATCATCTTATAAATGATGAGTTAAATTTTTTTTCTTTTCCTATTCAAAAAAAAAAGATTATTCTATCATCTTAACTTCAGATTCAAGAAAAAAAAAAGAGTGTATTCTTTCAGTCGATAGAATTATCATATGTAATTGTACATTCTATTTTTAGCATATTGTTTCAACAACATTATTAATGGAACGTCTTGAAATTGAAACATTAGAATATCTTGATTTAATTGTTAGTCGTGAACAATTTAGTCAAAAATATGTACGAATTAAAACTCGTCTTTAGTAAGTTAATTGTTCTCTTCCAAAAAAAAAAAACAAAGATTCTTGAAAGTTAATCTGCTATTGTTTTATAGTTATAAACAACAAAAATTTAATTTATTACGTGAAGAAAGTGAAGGTTTTGCTAAAACATTAACTGAATTAAATCAAAATTTTTCAATAACAAAATTAACATCCGAACAATTATATGATCGTTTAATGGCATTAATTGGTTATTTTGATATAGATCCTAATCGTATGCTTGATTTAGTTATTGAATCATTTGAATATCATCTTGAATATACAAAAATTTATGTAAATTTATTAAATTTACTTCATTTTGATAAAATAACATTATGTCAATTAATTGGTTTTAAATTTCAACAATATCAAGTAGAGAAAACAAAAAAAAACATTCTTTACTTATTTTCATAAGTTTTTTTGTTTTTATTTTTAGTTACAAGATGAAACAGCTGATTCACTTTATTTATTAGCTGCTCAACTTATTTCAAATAATATAATTGAACTTGAAGATTTATTACCACATGTAAATAAGAACAAAAAAAAAAAACAAATCATTGATATATGAAATATTGAATTGTATTTTTTTTTAGTTATATCCATTAATAACAGATTTTTCGGATAATTATATAAAAGAAATTGAACATGTACGTACATCAAAAAAAAGTTTAACATCATCAAAAGATTCAAATACAATAGTAAGAATTTTAATTTTACAAACATTTCAAATTGAAAACTTTGTTATAATGAAAATGACTTGATTTTTTGTTTTCTAGAAAACAAATAATCAATTATTACATTTTATTCAAGCATTATTATATGTTGGTGATTTAGAACATATATTAATTTTATTTAATAATTTACCTCGATGGTCATGTACATCGTATCGAGAAATAAATATACTTTTAACAAAAATTATTGCTTATATGATTGATCCATTTTATAAAAGGTAAATCAAATGAATTTTATTGTTTATTATAAAAAAAAAAACACAAATTTTTTTTTTTATTTAAGTAATTCGGATCTTCATATGTGTTTTCTTCAATATGAATTAAATAATCCATTAAATTTAAATATATGTCCACGTAATTTAAATTTAATTAAAAATTGGAATGAATTTCGAGAAAATATTTATCCATTATTATTACATCTTGGTCCTTATTGTCAAGATCGTCTTTTATATATGCAATTAACACGTTTATGTACAAATATAATTAAAAAACCAATTATTACTGATGAACAACAAGAAGATATTATTTTATTAATTGATGAAGTTCTTTTACCAAGTCTTTCATTACTTGATGTTAATAGTTGTTTAGCTATTGAATTATGGTCATTAATGAAATTATTTCCATTTGATATACGTTATGGGCTATATGGACAATGGCATGAAGATACATATCGTAAAACACCACAACTTATGTTTATTAAACAAGATGTTACAGATAAAACTCGAGCTATACTTAGGTAAGATTATAGAGAATATGAATGTCTTTTTTTTTGTTGTTTTGTTCTATTTGTAAAATATGCTTAATTTTGAAATCATATGTGATTTCAAGATTTATAAAATTATACAATGAAAAATTCGAAGTCTTATAGTGCAGAAAGCATTTCATATATGTATAGTATTCAAATTAGTCATAGTAGTATTAAGGAAGAATAGTTTCAATTTATTGACCCACCGATGTTTATCAAAACCATAGGAATATACTGCTACGAGACTGTTTTGATGTCAGTTACTTTGTTGATCTTTATTAAAAAATGCGAACAAAAGAAACACAATGAGTTATCGAAGAATTATTTAAAAACTTTACGGTTGAATGAAAATTTTTATTATGTCCGAATTACGGAATTGCCAAGACCGAGCCTCTCGGTCTCGAGTACAATTAATTTCTAATTCGTTCTTTAATCGTAGGTAAGCATTGTATTCACTCTCGATTGAAATTATTATTTTTTCAGTTTTTCGATCGAGACTATCCGCACGGAGAGTCTCAGTATATCCCTAGTCCGAATACAGAGTTTAACATATCTCTAGGGTTTCTGATGTTAGAGTCCTCAGTCGATATTTTTATAGGCGCGAAAATTAATGTTTTTTGTAATATTACCGATTTCTTGCATAGGATTAAAATCTAAACTATTCTCTACAGCAGTGATTTATCTACTGGGTGGGCTGAGTGGGCGCCGCCCACCCGAAATTTTGATTCGCCCATTCGAAAATATACAGCAGCCATTCGTCGAGTGGGCGCCGCCCACCCGAAATTTCGACTCGCCCACTCGGGAAACGAAACCTAGATGAAACACTGCTCTACAGGGTTATATAGATCTATTATTAACCCGAGTATTGTCACATATCCAAGATTTTGGAGATGCCATCACATCTCCCGCTGGAGGCGCGGCACTCACACACGAGAGATGTGGTCATTCACCACTGGAGATGTAAGATCTCCTTTAGAGATGCGCATCCCCGCATCCTCATCTCTCGCGCGAGAAGCGGCGTCTCCAAAATCTTGGATATGTGACACTGCTGGTCAGATCATAAAAATAGTTTTGCATTACTAGAATCAAAGCGCATCATTAGATAGTAGTGCTATGCGTGTACACATTCTATTTAAGATTTAAAATAAAAAATTATTGTTCATTATTTAGACGTATAACTAAAGATAATGTTAAAACTTACAGTCGTCAAATAGCTAAAATGACACATAATAATCCAATTATAATACTTGCAGTTGTAAGTATTTTTTTTTGTTCTTATCTATTTCAAAAAAAAAGAAAAATTTTATTTTCTGTAAATTAAGATTATTGATCAAATTCAACGATTTGATAATTTTATATCTGTTATAAATGATGCATTAAAATATCTTTCACCACTTGCATATGATATTGTTTGTTATACAATATTACATGCATTAACATCACCAATATCATCAACATCAATACCAACATATATTGATGGAAAAATGAGTCGTGAAAATGCAACACCAGCACAATGGTTTCAAAATTTATGTGTTTTATCAGCTAATGTATTTAAAAAATATCCTATTGATTTTACATCAATTCTTTATTATATATATGATCAATTACGTTTGGAAAAAACATGTGATTTATATTTATTACGTGAAATAATAACAAAAATGAGTGGTGTTGAAGTAACATCAACTGTAACACGTGAACAATTAGAAGCTGCATCAGGTGGTGAATTATTACGTAGTGAAGCTGGACAATTTACAGCAGCACGAAATGTTAAAAAACCATCAATACGTTTAAAAGAAGCATTAATAGATAATCATTTATATTTACCATTATCAATTATAATAGCACAACAACGTAGTTGTATTGTTTTTAAATTTGGTGCACAAAGAATTGAACATTTAAAATTAATTGGTAGTCTTTATGATCAAGTAAATTATCATTTTTATTTAATCAAAAAATAAAAATTGTATATTTTAGTGTCAAGATACAATGGTACAATTTTTTACATTTTTATCAAATGTATTAACAACAGAAAATTTTCATCATAAATTTCCTTCAATTGATGATCTTGTACTTGGTTTTCATTTACAAGTTGATGCTGCTTTTCAAATATCAAGACCATTATTTAATCTTAATATTCAAGTAAATGATTATATATATATATATATCTAATAAAATTTATTTTTTGATTAGGCAAAATTTGATGAATTTCGATCAACAGCATCAAAATCATTGAATAAGAATGCTTTGGTAAATATGACGTCAAATAATTATGTCTAACAAAAATTCATAGTGAATTGTTTAATATTCTTATTTTTAGATACAAAATTATATTGAAGCAGTAACATATGTTATGTCACCTGTACTTGATTTTGTTAAAACACTTCATCCACAACGAACATGGGAAGAAATGACGTATGTAAATATTTTATTTTTATGATTATCTATAAAATTTTTTTTTTCTTTAGACCACAATTTTATTTAACATTTTGGTCATTATCAATGTCAGATTTACAAGTACCAGAAATAGCATATAAACGACGTATTGAAGAACTTGAACTTGAAATGACACAAATTGATGAACGAAAAGAATTGGTTTGTTTAAATGAACAAAATAAATCTATGAATTTTTTTTTTTTGTTTTAGACAGCAGCAAAAAAACGTAAAGAAAAAGAAAAAATTCATATTATTATAGATAAACTTAAAGAAGAATTATTTAAACAAAAAGAACATGTTGAACGTGTACGTGCACGTCTTGATATAGAACGTGAACATTGGTTTAAAAATCGTATGTTAAATTTTAAATATGTTGTTTTTTGTTGTTTATGTTTTATTAACATTGTTTTCGACAAAAAGAAAAAAAACTATTTTATTTTTCAGGAAATAAAACAAAAGCTGAAACAATAACTGAATTTCTTCAATTATGTATTTTTCCACGATGTTTATTAAGTGAAATTGATGCACTTTATTGTGCACATTTTATACGTGTTATACATGATTTAGTAACACCAAATTTTAGTACAATTATTTGTTATGATCGTTTATTTTCTGATATATCATATTCACTTGCTTCATGTTCAGAAAATGAAGCTATACGTTATGGAAGATTTCTTGAATCATTATTAGAAACTGTTATGAGTTGGCATGGAGATAAAAACAAATTTGATAAGGTAATTTAATATTATATTACAAAAGTATTTCTTAGAAAATTCTTGAAATATTTTTTTAAAAAAAATAGAAGTATCATAGTGATTTTTAAAATGTTAGAATGAAGATGATTTTTTTTCTATCTAATTATTTATATATACATATATTCAGTAGCTAACAGAGATGTCCATCGCGGCGCGACCGCTGCCACTGTGGCGGCGTGGTAGCGGTTGTTTTTTTCAAATAACCATCGCGGTGCGGCAGCGTCGCGGTAGGTTTTCTGTTTTTATCACCGCGGTGCGATAGCGGCGCGTTAGCGTTTTTTCTTTTATCGTCGCGGCGCGGCAGCGGTCAGTTTTGAACCCGCGATGGACATCTCTGGTAGCTAAGATTAAATATATCAAATGGTTATTTTTTGTTTTTTGTTTTGTTTTTTGGATTGTAATATTATTTAACAAAACAATTTCTAGGAATGTGCAACACATCCAGGTTTTCTTACTGTTTTTCGTAATGCTGGTAATGCAGCAACGAAAACAACAGGTACAACACAAACACCTGAACAACTTGATTATGATAATTTTCGTCATGTATGTCATAAATGGCATTATAAATTAGCAAAAAGTTTTATTGTTTGTCTTGATTCAAATGATTATATACAAATACGTAATGTATTACAAGTCTTGACTGTTCTTTTGCCTATATATCCAAAAATGACAACATTTTATGCTGCACTTGAACGACGTATTAAAGCTATATGTGCAGCTGAAAAAGATCGTCGTCATGATTTGTTTGCATTAGCTAAATGTTATAGCGGTCGTTTAGCACATAAACATCGTGATATGATTGAAGAAAGTCAATTTCATTCAGTTCCAGAACGACAAACATCATCATCATCATCAACAAGTAATCAGAATAATAATAATAATAATCAGAATAATAATAATAATAATAATGCTGGTACGAAAATGAATCCTATTGTTACACCGACCATCATCGGTGATACAAATAATGTTAATCATCATCCTATTTTATCAGATATACAATCAACATCATCACCAACCACTCGTTCAATACAAAAAGATTCATTAACTAGTAATACAACAGGTAAAATATGATATTCAAAGAAGAATTTATATTTAATTATTTGTTTTGTTTTTTGTAAAGCACGACCAACGAGTGAGAAATCCATGAATGTTTCAACAACAAGCAATGGATCGACAACAGCAACAAAATCATCTTCACCAGCACCATCATCTCAACCAACAGCACCAACATCTCGATCAGCAACAATAACTAATATAACTGGTATGATGCAATATTCCCATCGGTGTCCATCCAAGTTGGCTCTTATTCTCTATATATATACGTGTAGAACGATCAACAAGTAAAACCAAAACAGAACCTGTCATCATCAACAGCAGCAGTAATAGTAGTAGTACGACTGCAACGATCTCATCGACAAAATCGAATCGAATACCACATGGTCCATCGTTGCCTTCATCAAAAACTACGGTGACATCGACGACACAGAATAAAATTGAATCGAATGAAACATCGACATCGATGACTGGACGTACAATTAAATTGTCGAATAATCCAACTGATCGTCATGAGTCACCACAAGCATCAACTATATCAACACTACGTGAAAGTCCGCCAACAAATAAAAAAGATACATCGACAACGATCGATAGGTATGCATCTATAAAACAAAAAAAGAAACATCGAAGAATTAAATCTTGTCTTTTTTTTTAAATAAAGGCGGCCTACGTCATCAACGACGGAACAACAAATATCGTCCAGTAAAACATCTTCAGCACCTGTTTCACGTCCTACTTCATCACGTACTGTTACATCAACTACACGTAGTAGTACTTCCTCCGTTGCCACGACTAATGATGATTCGATTCGAAGGTAATTTCCTATATATTAATCTAAAAATTATTATTGTCGTTATTTTTTTTTTTGTGTTTTTTTATAGATCGGATCAAACGGCGACGAATGGAATAAATAGTAGTACATCATCGAAAACTCTACGAACAGAGTCACCTCATGAACATGGTCTTGTCTTTTTTTTTTTAGTTTTATATTTTATTAGAATTTAGTTTGTTTTCTTTTTCTATTTGTTTTTAGTACCAGTAGAAAAAAAATCACGTAGTGGTTCCTCAAAGGTAAAAGTACGATTTTAAAAAAGAAAAATGCTTGTTTTTGAAAGATTTTCGATGGGAAGAAAGTAAAAAATAGTGACTTGTAGGATTTTACTATAAAAATTTGTTTTCATTCTTTATTATGCAATATCATTGTTTCTAACTTGTTTTATTCAAGAGTTTTAATTTTTCTTAGAACAATTGTAATAAAAAGTTTTTCAAAAATGAAATTTACATTTCTTTTCTTTTTTTGTTTAGGGTGATCGTATTACTACATCGCATGTCGATGAATCACGTAATAGTAGTTCACGTAGTACACATCGTGAACATAAACATGTATATATTTATATTGATTAATCCTTTTATTATTTTTTTTTAAATTTTTTATTTATCATTTTAGGAATCTAATAAACGTGCACGTTCATCAACACCTGAAAAACGTTCAGCAAATGGTGGTAATAGTGGTAGTTCATCACGTCGATTAAATCAAACAGCTGAATCTACATTATCAACAACACCTGTACATCAAGATAATGAACATAGTAGTGGATCAGGTATTATGGATGTATCTCCATCAAGTTTATCATCGAAAAGAATTAAAACAAGTGATACAATTTCAAATGGACGATCAACACGAAAAGTAAATAAAGTTAAAAATTATTAATTTTTTTTTTTTTTTGATAAATTATTAAGGAAGCACGTGAAGAACGACATACAAGTTCATCATCTTCACATAGAGTATCATCATCATCTCGTAGTGATCGTCGAGATAAATAGTAAATAATATTGATTTTTTTTTTTTGTTTTGATTTGTACATTTTTCTTTTAGTCATACAAGCAAAGAAACTAAGTGAACAATTTTCTCGTCCTTTTCTTTTTGTATGTCGATCTATTTTTGTTTCTTTATTTCTCTTTTGTTTGTCGTCTTTACAAAAAAACAAAAAAAAAAAAAAAGCCAAGAAATAAATTTATGTGTATTTGTCTGTGTGATGATCAATAGATATGAATATCTGACAAAAAAAAAATACAAAAACATTCGTTTTGCTTATTTTGTCCATTGTTCTCTTGATTTTGTATATTCTATATAACTTAAATGTACACGTGTGTATTGATATTAGAGATACTTTTTGTTTCTTCTTCTCTTTATTCAAACTAAGTAGCTTGCTTTGCCGTCATGCTATTATACTGATTGATTGCACAAAAAAATAAAGCAGAAATGTCATTATACATGCGTGGATCTAAACAAAAAAAAAACTATCTAATAAAATTAATAGAATCTCGATTTTGTTATTCTCGAATGTTCGTAGCACTAGAAATTGGATGAGACTAATGTTACTTGGTTTGAGGAGAGATTTTAAGAAAATAAGCATTATTCGCTTTAAAAGGTGCCTTACAAGTTTTCAGCTTCAATAAGAATTAGTTTATATGCAGGTAGAGAATGATTTCTAACTGAATTTATTTATATAAGTTTTGAATATTCGTAGCGGTGTTTTAAATGACATAATATTTGGTTAATATTTTCTCTTTTAGTAGTTAGAATATAAGCATGAGTATGTAACGTTCAATTTTTCAAAACCGATCAATAAGAGTTTTTCAGATTTTGAAATTAAACAATGAATATGGTTTCAATAAAATACTAGTATGCTAGAAAGTAGTAAATGGTTTTGTTGGTTGTTTTCTGTCACTATTCATATGATCAAACAAAGTATGCATTGAATAAACAGTTTCAAATGGACAAAAAAAGCATGAACATACTAACGATAGATCATGAAAACATACTTTGTGTGTATTGAGCAAAAGATATTTGTCCTGCATAGGCTTGGTCATGCTTTTTGCTTATTTGAAATCCTTTTATTCAATGCATACTTTGTTTGGTCATGTGACTAGTGATAGAAAACAATCAATATAACCATTTAGTGCTTTCTAGCACAATATTTTTTTATTTATCGCATATTCATCGTTTAAGTAAAAAAAAATGTGAAAAATTCTTATTGATCGATTTTGAAAAATCGAACATTACATACTCATGCTTATATTCCTATTATTAAAAAAAATGTTAACCAACATCCTGATATCTCTCCTACCTGAAGAATGTCTTATTCTGATTGTTACCATCACGTTGATGATAGTTCCATTATTCTTTTGTGTGTTCTCCTCTCATAGTTCTGGTATC